ATATATATATATATTTATATATACCGTGGAATCGGCAATGCGTTTTAGCAGAAACAGCTTGATAAAACCCTCCACGACCAGCGTTTGGGTCTGCAAGTCCCACGTGTCCAATTGATGCTCATTTACGCAAAAGTAGGTCGCAAGGCCGTCCAAAATCGAACCCGACGTGATCATGTCCCCATCTTCTTCCTAGAAGAAATACATCATGTGATATGTTATAAATTTACAGAAATATCAACGATATATATAAGAAATATTATTGATGCGATACGAAGTGCCGGACCCCAGTCAATCAAATCACGCCGACCAAACCGATCACGAATCGCGCCCATGGATTGGTCAGTCTGAAAATGCGTGTCGCTGATTGGCTACACCATTTTGTCACTTTTCGACAAGCAGCAAAATCAACCAATCAAATGGCGAGGCGCGATTTGTATACCAGTTCAGCAAACCAGCCACAAGATGGGACAAATTCAATCAACCGCACAATTCATACCTACGATATATATATATACAGAAATACCCACCACGGGAGTGATTTCAAACGACTTGAACGCTGCGAAAAAGTCGAGCAACACCTATACCGACCAAGTGATTTCGTTAGAAATAGTACTCTTGATATGGAGTACCCGAATGCACGTGTGCTTGGAGTCTCCGTCCTCGTCGTCGGCGTTGAGTACCCGCCAAAACACAATCGTATGGTTGAGGGCCATTTTCTACATATTACATATATATATATATTATATATATATAAGGAATACAGGTATAGTATACGACGTACGCGGTCCAACAAGCAATACAGACCCAAGCATTCGAGCCCTTTTTCACGTAACGCTGGGATATCGCTATCCACGGCGGGCAAAATCAGGTGCAAAATGTTGGCAATCATGGCGTTCTTCAAGCTCTATGAAATATATATATTTACATTTCAAACGATTCGTATATATATATATATATATATATATATCCTTGTACTTGTCGGGTGAACTGTAGGATCTTGGACGACAATTCCAGGCACCGCAAATAGCGAAGTGTTTTCGGCTCTTCCAACGACTTTTCGAGCGCCACTCCTTCTGCATGCAACTCGTCGTATTCCTAATATATATATATACAGAGTCATGTTTTACATAGAAAATTCAATACAAACACTCGATTATTCGAATTTGGAGTGTTCAATTGAATGACCAAACACAAAACGGCAGAGAATACTCGATCGACCAATCAAAAACACTCCAAAAATCCAATTGGCCAATCATGTGTCACCAATCAGGATACTTGGACTTTGTATACCACATGAGTTTCTATATGGTTGTGTTTCTTCTAAACTGCAGCGACATGGAGAATAATGAATCGACACAACGAAATGTACAGCAGAAACATCGACAGAAGGATTAGCCAATCAGATTGCAGGAGACCATGATCATCAACATCGAATAATAGTGTGAGGCTTCAATTAGTGTGATTACAAAACTCAGTACAAAGAATCGATCGATCGATCGATTTGCTGAATCAGCCACAAAAACAAGTCCAAACTATTGGGTAAATCAACAATATCAAGGTTCATTTGTACCAATTCAATTAATCGACCTAAAAAAAACCACTAAATTTGGGGTACATGGGTAATAATACGTTATAAACCGACAATATCAAGGTTCATTTGTACCGATTCCATTAATCGACTTTAAAAACCACCAAATTTGGGGTACATATATATATATATATTGTTGTGTTTATTCGAAATTGGGGAGGGGGTGCAATCGACTAATCGCGCAAACCGATCCACAATCGAACTGATTGGTTGTTGAATTTTATTGAGAAGGTTTTGATTGGCTGATAATTTTGAGCGTAGCCACTCAAATAGATTTAAATTCCAACGAGAAACCACGCCACAACACGAAATTGAAAGCACAATATATATTGTTGTGTTTATTCGAAATTGCAGAGTTTGCGAGTGCTCCATCGAATGACCAGACTAACCAAATCGGCATCGATATATCGACAAACCCAGAACATTATAATATCAACTGACCAATCAAAGTACCAATCCAACATTGAATTCGTGTGAAAATAACGATGGTTACAAAAGTCAGTGCAATACGCGAATATCAATCGATGGATAGATTGGCGAAAATATCAGCACAATAAAATATTATTCAGTTTTTGAAGAGAGGGGATCATCGTACTCTGGAAAGATGGAGAGAAAGTACACCGCCGCTTCGTCGAGGGGAATGGCGCTGGTGCCGTACACGATGCTGCAGAAGATCGACCGGATGGTCGCGACGATCAAGTCGAACTGGAGGTTGGCCAGGGCGGGGTAAAATACGCTGAGCAGTTGGAGCGTTTCAGAGCAGAACCCGTGGTCGTTGGAGTGCAGCATTTGCTGTAGAATCGGATGAAAGTACAGTTCCATCATGGCTTGCAGTTTCTATCGTCCAGATCAGAAATATATATATATAT